AGGCTTAAACCTTGCAGCTGTTTTAAACCTTCTTGGGTACACCGTTTTATATATATGTGTGTGTTCATTTTTTTTTTTTTTTTTTTTTTTTTTTTTTTTTTTTTTTTTAACCTTCATCCTCTTCTTTGTCGTGTTTACTATAAAGTTCTTTTTAATTAGGATTTATCGTGACATTTAGAGATTCTTTTTTTTTTCTTCTTCTTCTTCTTCTTGAGATAAGTGAACGTTCCTAACAAATATTTCAGTGGCTGAACCTTCTCACGCCCACGCCCACGCTGAGCTAATTGATGTTTCCACTTTTTGGGCGTAAAGTTTATGTCTAGAATCTCGCGTCGGAATCTGTTTCATTTTCTATCGTCCATAAAGGTGATTCCTTCTTTATCTAAGGTTTTTTAATGATGTTTTCCGATGTGATTTGAGATTATCTTTTTGTCTTTTCTTTTACTGGTGTGATTCCGTATCTTCACGTTTTTTTTTATCTAATTTATTATATTTTTCGTTTAATTCATTTTCTGGTGTATTTTGTTATATCATATTCTATCTATTTCGAATCACTAGTTCTGTCTTAGCGAATTAATCTTTTCATTGTGATGAACATAACGTATAAATAGATATAACATACATATATATATATATATATATATATATATATATATATATATATATATATATATATACATACATACATACATATATACATACATATATGCATATATATTCAGGATCATATAACACAAAACTATTTTACTATTGGATATCTTTTCTTTTTATTAGTCTGGGAAGTACTATTTTCAAATTCTAAATTGATTATTCCAATATCGTCGTATAATATCGGTTTTCTATTCATTCATCAGTCTATTTCCTTGATTATTAGATAAATCGATCATCTGTTTATGTTTCTATTCATTATTATTTCTTCAAATAAATCGACTCAAAACATAACAAGACACTACCATATAACTTCGACTGCCATTTTTTTTTTAATAAATAAATATATATATATATATATATATATATATATATATATATATATATATATATATATATATATATATATATATGAAAATAAGAACAAATATGAATTGCAAATTTTTGGATCTTTTTTTGAACTTTCGATTTTCCGACAACTTCCGGCTTATAACCCAGTCAAACCAAAAGAAAAAAAAGAGAAATCGCAATGAAAAATCAGATAAAAATGAGATACACATAACTACTCATCTACACATGAGAAATACACACATTCGACACACGATACAACACAACACAACGAAATTTACGGACCAATCAACGCAAAGAAAGAAAGAAATACATGTATCATATTCACTTCGTATGTATCCCGAAACATCGCTCTCCCTACAGTAATTTCCCAAAAGTGTTAAAGTCCACTTGATATATGAGTAATAAATGATAATAATAATAATAAACAAATGATAATAATAATAATAATTAAAATCGCTTTCCCTACAGTAAATTTCCCAAAAGTGTTGAAATCCACTTGATATATGAGTAAATAATAATAATAATAATAATAATAAACAAATGATAATAATAATGATAATTAAAATCGCTTTCCCTACAGTAAATTTCCCAAAAGTGTTAAAGTCCACTTGATATATGAGTAATAAATAATAGTAATAATAATAATAAACAAATGATAATAATAATAATAATAATTAAAATCGCTTTCCCTACAGTAAATTTCCCAAAAGTGTTAAAGTCCACTTGATATATGAGTAATAAATAATAATAATAATAATAAACAAATGATAATAATAATAATAATAATTAAAATCGCTTTCCCTACAGTAAAATTCCCCACACGTGTTAAAATCCACTTAATATATGAGTAATAAATAATAATAATAATAATAATAAACAAATGATAATAATAATAATAATTAAAATCGCTTTCCCTACAGTAAATTTCCCAAAAGTGTTAAAATCCACTTGATATATGAGTAATAAATAATAATAATAATAATAATAAACAAATGATAATAATAATAATTAAAATCGCTTTCCTTGCAGTAAAATTCCCCACAAGTATTAAAATCCACTTGATATATGAGTAATAAATAATAATAATAATAATAAACAAATGATAATAATAATGATAATAATTAAAATCGCTTCCCCTACAGTAAAATTCCCCACACGTGTTAAAATCCACTTAATATATGAGTAATAAATAATAATAATAATAATAATAATAATAATAATAATAATAAACAAATGATAATAATAATGATAATAATTAAAATCGCTTTCCCTGCAGTAAAATTCCCCACAAGTATTAAAATCCACTTGATATATGAGTGATATAAACAACCCATCGTTATAATATGGTAGTATTATAATATTATATAATATAATGTAATAATGATACAATATAACATAATATAGTATAATAGTATAATATAATCATAATATAATAGTAATATAAACAACCCACTGTTATAATATAATATAATATGATATAATAATATTATAACATTATATGACATAATGTAATAGTATCATAATATGATATAAAATAACATAATAGTATTATAATATTATATAATATAATGCAACAGTATCATAACATAACATAAAATAATGTAATGATATAATATAATCATAATATAACATTAATATAAACAGCCCACTGGGAGACGATACCGGTGTGAAAAACCCACCTTGGAATCGGACCCCGCTGAATATTGCCAACCCGGCCGCTAATTGTTTGTTTCTAAATAATAAATAATTCAAAAGAAGAATAAGAAAGGTAAAGGATGTGGATGAAATAAATACAAATAAAAAAAAGGGAAATGTAGTTTTTCTTCTTTTTCTTTTGATAAATACACAGGATTTTAAGTGTATGTGTGTTTGCGCGGGTTTATACGTATGAAATCATGAAAGCTTGCAATCAACGCTGCGAAGGTTTATATGCCTATTATCACCTTTATTTATTTACTCATTTGTCTTTTCCTCCACGGAACAAATATAATAATAAAATATAATATGATAATAATAATGATAGTAACAATAATAATAATAATGATAATAATAATAATGATGATAACAATAATAATAATAACAATAATAATAATAATAATAATAATAATAATAATAATAATAATAATAATATTGATAACAATAATAATAATAAACAAATGATAATGATAATAATAATTAAGATTAAAATAAAACAATAAACTTGTACTTGGGTTTTAGGAACTTGAATAACAATTATCAAAGAGATATGAACATCGATCGATTAATATGAAACATAAGCTGGATCTTAACTGACACCTTCGATTTAGTTATTAAGGTTGATAATTACTTCATTTGTTAGTTATCAATTAATTTAGATATGCGAGAGCGAGACGAATTGGAAATTCTGAAGAGATCGGGTTAAAAAAACTGTTTGATGTAAATATGCTTATGGAATAATGATGGTGATGATAATGATAATGATAGCAGGGATAATATTGATAGTAATAATGATAATGATAATAGCAATAGTAAACCAATAATGATAGTAGTGGTGATGATAATGATAATGATGATACTGATGTTGATGATGATAATGATAATGATAATGATGATAATGATAATGATGAAAGATAACAATCATAATGATGATAATAATGATAGTAATAATACTAACAATAATAATAACAATGATGAAATAATAATGAAAATAACGAGGATGCTGATGATAATAATGATAACAAACATAATAATAGCAAGTATCATAATGACGATAGTAATAAAGATAATGATGCGAATCGTTATGACAACAACAACAAAGAAAATAAAAAGTTCTTCGTCCAAAATGTAAATGGCAGATTTCAAAACCGTTTTATCTTTATTTCCATTTTCTTTCAAGGCGAGCAGACCTACCGCTCTGACAGTCTCAAGGCTAAAACAGAGCGGCATTCAAGCTGAAATAAGATAAATAGATAGAATTGTCCTTCAGTTTTGCCCAAAGAAAATACGTCATGAAGCGGACACTTTCAGTTCTCAAACATTCATTCAGAGGGATACGAATGCAAAATAAATTGTATGTATCTGAAGGTATACTTATCTTATATGCGTGCGTGGTGTGTGTAAGTATATGCATATGTATACACAGATTGTAGATATATTTGCTTGACTGAAGACAGACGAAGAGAAAGGGAGAGAGAAAGAGAGAGGGAGAGAGAGAGAGAGAGACAGAGACACACAGAGAGAGAGAGGCAGATAACGTATACATGTAAACGTACACGTGTTTACATATAAGACATACATACCAACGTACATACAGAGACACGAGCACGTAGAAAGTGTACATGGCAAGCGAATCAGACACGGAACATGTTTGGAGGACAGTGCATGACACAGATACAAAGCATAGAAGAGAGAATCGTAATGTAATGAGCGTTCCCAACAGAATCGAATCCCTTCAGGAGTCTTCGTCGCGTGATCCCCTTGTACCGCCGTCAGTCTGCTTTAGGTTCGGAATCCTTCAGCGCACGAACACTCACGTATACGGAGGCCGATAACACTACATTTATAGAACGTTTTGGAGCCCGAGGATTGGCGTGGCGCTGCGGCCGACGGCGCGTAAGGGAAGGAGGGAGATCGGAAGGAATGGGAATTGGGGAAAGGAGAGGGAAGAGAGGGGAAGGAAGAGGGAAGAGAGGTCGCGGTAGCGGCGGCGGCGGCGGGAGGAGGAGAGAGACACCTTGATGAACGTGGAGAAGAAAGGGAGTGACCGGGGAATTAGAGGGGAGAGGAGGAGAACAGAGAGGGGAGTGAGGAGGGGGGGGGGGGAGGGGGAGCCAGCGCCGCGGCCACCGGGCTGAGCGGCGGACATGAGCGTATGACACAGGACATGGATCTCGGTCAGCCTTGGCAACTGGCACCTCCCCCCAACCTCGGTGCCGGCCGGTGCCACGGTGCCCCTCGACGGAGGACGGGCGGCAAGGCGAACACGGGGACACAGTACACTGGGGCGTGGAGAGGATACCCACCTTGGCCGGGGTGTAAAGCCGCATAGCCACGGAGGTGAGATGGGCACACCCGCCTCGCACACACTACATACGACACTGGGACCGGGCCTGACACTATGCCAAGATTCTGGCCCTGTCGTGGCACCACGGGGGCTCTCTGGCGCCACCTGCCCAAGCCATGACTCACCCGTACACACATGCAGACTCACATAAACACACCCACATACACACACACGCACACTAGGAGATGTACACACACACACACACACAGGCACTTACATAGACACACACACATACACACATTCTCCCTCGCACAAATATGAAAGAATATATATATACTCTACACACGCTGATTATATTTACACACTATAAATACACACCAAAGTACAAACAAACACATACACACGGTCCTCAGCACTATATAGTACGTATAAATTTAGCCCTTCACACAGCGTACTGTCACCTGGGCTTCGATATCCTCACATTGTATAGGAATTTATAATCTTCATTGGATCTTATTATAGACTATTATTATTACAAATTATTATCGCTATAAAAATGCTATGATTTTTTTCCATTGTGCTTTTTGTTTATATTGATATTGTTCCTGTTGTGTTTCTAGAGTCAATCATTCATATAATCCCTTTGGTTATTATCATTATTGTTGTTCGCATGGGTATTACTACTAAATATTATTGATGTTATTATTATCACAACTATTGTTATTATGACTGGTACTATTAATAACATTATTATCATTTTATCATCTTATATTTATTACTGTTATTATTAGCATTATCAGTATCATCATTATTGTATTATTATCATTATTATCATCATTATTGATATTTTTGCTTTTATTAGTATTATCATTATTATCATTTTGTTGTTGTTGTTACTGTCATTATCATTATTATTTTTAATATCATTATTATTACTATCAGCATTATCATCTTTATTATCATTCTTATCCTTATCATTATTTGAATTATTATTATCATTACTATTATTATCTTTATCATTATTATTATTATTACAATGTTCAATATTATTATTTCTATAATTATTATTGTTATCATCATTATTATTATTATTTTCATTATTATATTATTATTATTATTATTAATTATTGTTATTATTTATTATCATTTATTTATTATTATCATTATTATCATTATATCATTATTATTATTGTCATTATTATTATTCATTGTTAATCATTATTATTATCATATTCATTCATTTATTATCATCATGATTATTGTTGTTGTTGTTGTTGTTTTTGTTGTAGCATTTGCATCTGTTGTTATTCATTATCATCAATGTACTAACTACAGCTATTATAACAATAAGGATAATTGTTATTATTATCATTCATATTAATGTTATTATTATTATCATTATTATCAGTGATGCTGTTGTTGTTGTTGTTGTTGTTATCATTATTGTTACTATTATCATTATTATCATCATTATCATTATCATTATTATTATTATATATTATTATAATTATTGTTCTTATCATGATCAACATTATTCTCACTACCATTATCATTATTACTATTACTATCATTATCATTATAATTATTACTATCATTATTATTATTTTAATCCTCATTATAGTTATCATTATTATTGTTATTATTATTATTATCATTATTATTAATCATTATCATATTACCATTACCATTATCATTATTATCATTATAGTCGTATAGTTGTCATCACTATTATTATAAATGTTGAGGTTATTTAGCTTAGGTTATGTAGAATCAATAAAAGCTTAATTACAAATGTAAATATAGCGGCAGAAAAAAATCAATAAAAATGGACTAATATCTTTTTATATAAATTCAAAGAATTACTGACCCTTCGTACGTTTTTTAGAAAATACTAGAGGCTACAGTCTTCGAATCTTGATACTGAGAACTCATTAAAAGTGTATAGAGATTCATATGAAAAAGATCATTAGCATCTCATTCAGTTTTCGAATATATATTCATTTTTTTTCGAGAGCTATTGCAACTACTCTACTCCCCCCCCCTACCCCAACCCCCCACAACCTTTTTTTCCCTGTTAACCGCACCCATATCGAAGCCATATCTGTCTACGTCGGTGGTTTCCAGTTTGGGGTTCGCGATACCTCAGTGGAATCGGGAACGGTTGTGCGGGGTATCCGATACCCGAAGAGTCCGTAGAGAAAGTTGAAGAAGATAGAGGTGTCATTCTCTTGTAAGATGCCCAGGTTTATGCCTTACTAGCAAAGAGATGAATCGGGTAAAAGGCAGTTTGTTGGTATTCAATAAAGTCGGATTAGTGAGAAGGGTCCCTGAGGTAAATATAATAATAGATAAATGAAATATAAGAGAAAAATGAAATTAAATAAAACATAAAAAGAATAGGCACCATTGGTCTATGTACACATAGTTTACTGATTTCTATATTGATTACTGTACGGGAAAAAAAAACTCAGTTATGTAGGGTAATTTTAAACATGTCCTTGTTTTTTTCCATAATTTATCTTAACCGACGTGCGTTTCAAACCTTAACAGTTTAATATATGGTCCTTCGACAGATTTCATGTTTTACTTGTTTTTTTTATACTAGAGTAAGTGTCTTTACTTTTAAAAATGACGAGTAAGTGATACGAACAGTTTTTATCCCACCTAACCCCGTCCCTCACCCGTGTGACACAGAAAGGACTTCACGGGTCGTCCATTTTTTCATCATTTTCACGAGCGTGCAAACGGGGGGGGGGGGGGTTAAGTCCGCGTGTCCGCTTTCTAAAAAGTAATAAAAATGATGATGATTTTCAAAGCTGTATCGCGCGCATCTATGTTTTGTTTCCTACCCAGAATTCTTTTTTTAACCCATGAGAAAAGACAAAATGAATACAAATGTATTATCCTATCCTTAATCAAATTTATTGTCATACACGAAATTTATGACTCCCTGTCACAAGGTCATCAATTTCCCATTTCAGTTTGTGAATGGAAAAACACTCTACCGTGTTGATGCTATGGTAGAAATTGCGTTTTTTTCTACCATTTCAACTTGTATACTTCCAAGGGGGGGGGGGAGGGTGGTAGGAAAAAAGAGTACTCTTTGTAGGCTTTTGAAAAGGATAAAAAAATAGATGACTCCTTAATCAGCTGAGTGACTATCGTCCTTGAGTTTTTGTTTGTTTTTTCTTCTTCTTTTTTAGGTTAGCTCGAATAGAATATAATGAAATGAAAGAGAATAGATAATAATAATAAAAAAAAAACATACAGCAGGATGTAACAGTGGTTTTGTGATTCTATATTTATCGATATTGAGGAAAGAACTTAATAAAGTTTGTGGCATCAACAAACGGATTAATAGAAAATTTATGATCATATTCACCCTGATGGTTGTAAATATTATTTTTATCATTATTGCCATTCCTATTATCATTGTTTTAACATTATCAGTATCATTATCAAGATCCTCAAAATCGTCATCATTATTAATATCATCACTGTTATTATAAATATGTTTACCATGATTAAGTCTATCACGTTATTGCCATTATTGCAGTTACCATTGTTGTTTTCCCTATTCAGACTCATTGTAGAAATTCATTTTCGTCACTAATTAATCACCGTCAGCATTTGCACTCTGACAAATTGTTTTAGAATAATAAAAAAAAACATATTTACATCAACCTTGATAAATATTAAGGCACTGATTCCAAACTCTTTGTTTATGCTGACAAGTCAATATCATTATCTTCATCATCATCACCATTATCATCTTCATTATTATCATCAATATTCTTATTGTTATCACCATCATCATCATCATCATCATCATCATCATCATCACCAACATTATTATCTTTATTATCATCATCGTTATCATTAGTATTACCACCATAATCATCATGTGTATCATTAATGCCACCACCAGCTGTGCAGCGCCAACTGTATAGACATCATGAATCCTCCATTTCGCTAAATATAAAATAAGTCTGGTACACTGAGTCCAGATGGATCATTGTGATGCCGATAATTATAAAATCACGAGTGCAGTCGCTCACCCTAAATATACATTAAATTCGCTCCATAACTTTAGCGTACGATACGTTAAGAGCAGATTGATAGAACCTCTATGTACGTATTTTTCTTTACTGAAAATATTCGGTTAATTTGCATTACTATTATCACCTTTACTATTTTATCACCATCAATATCATTAATGTTTTTTTCAATGTAGTTAACATTATTATTGTTTTTTTGTGAGTACATATTTCCTTTTCTTTTGTTTTTCTTCTATAATGAGTCACTGAATGACATTTCCTTGTGACTAATTCATAAGGCATTCTTTCGAGGAATAAACTCATGATTCTTCTCGAAAATGTGCGATGCGCCGACGTTTCCAGAAAGAATCGAATCGAAGAGTCTAAGCAAGAGGATCGGAATTGACAAAATAACGCTTTGCTTTTGTTTAGCTGCTTGCATTTTATTTCTTATTTTCCTAAGTTAGTGTAAAACTAAGGAATTTAAATTAACAAAAACAGCTTTTCTGGCTAACAAGCATTTCTGTGTACAAATATTTGTTATAGATCAGCCTTAGATTCGGAACCAAAACAAGATAATAAAAAGCGATCGAAAGAGGTTTAAATAAGTGCTTGGAGGGATTCGCATGATAAGCGTAGGACTAATCGCTTCGCGGAAGTTAAGTTATATTTGAATCACCCAAGGATTATCACGGGGAACTTAACGGCTATTTCCACTTAAAAAAATGTTGTATCTAAACAAAAGCAACTCTCTCTCTCTCTCTCTCTCTCTCTCTCTCTCTCTCTCTCTCTCTCTCTCTCTCTCTCTCTCTCTCTCTCTCTCTCTCTCTCTCTCTCTCTCTCTCTGTCTCTCTCTCTCTCTCTCTCTCTCTCTCAAAATATGTATATATATGTGTGTGTGCGTGTGTGCATATATATATATATATATATATAATATATATATATATATATATATAATATATATATATATATATGTGTGTGTGTGTGTGTGTGTGTGTGTGTGTGTGTGTTGGTAGTGTGCGCCCACGTCACCTACCAGCCCGTCTGTCTATCTTGGTATTGTGAGTCA